AAATTTATCGTGTGTCACAATTTAAAATGAATGAATATATGGTTGAGATTTTGATGAAGTTCTAGATCAATTAATTACTAAACAAAGATTTATTGTAAAATATTTTCGAATATATATTTGTTTTGATATATCAATTCTTTTCTAATTCATTTCATGAGTATTGTTCGGAATCTCATATTTCAAATCCATAAACAATTATAACATTAGCCTTCACTTGTTATGATACTGTAGTTAGTCAGTGGTCTTTTGACTTTCCTGATTTCAACATCATAGATTTTTCTTAATCAAACTAAATGTAATGATTTATCAGGTATAGATGGTAGTTCCAAAGAAATAAAGATTACTGTTATTGCTGGTAAAATTCGTCGTTGTATATATATTCATTATTTTACTTTTTTCTTTCATGAGATATTTCTAAGAAATATTCTATTAATGGAGTATCACCATAGTTGTTTCGCCATTTTCTATTCTAACGTTCTTAACTGGTTATTCTAATTTTAAGGACTGATATAGAGAGTTTTTAGAACATATTTCTTTTAAATAAGAATCTTCAACTCATATTAATAAATTGTTTTGGTGTCTGACAAAGATGTTATAGTTGCTGTTGTCATTGATCTTTGTATTTGTCTTTCTTGTTATCATCCGTATTTCTAGATATGCCACGCATTACACCATTATTTTGCGATTACGATTTCTTAAATTATTTTTTCGTTGCATAAAGGACAAGCCAGAAATCTTGATACAATTTGAATATTAAAATTTTCTTCGTGAAATAATTATTTGTAAAATTTGTCTTTATGATGAAAAGATACAGTAAAACACACACACTACAATATGATTTTTTTATTCACTTCACTATTTCATGTAGTGAGAATTGAAATAAGAATGCAACGTAACTCGTTCGTAAAGTCTCAGAGAACAAATTCGTTGTGTAAAATTGAAAATATATCATGTTAAGATTCTTTTTCTAAATCATAAATAAATAAGTCATCTGATAGGATCATCAAGCAAGATCGAACTTAGTTATGGTAACTTCTTCACTACCATTAAAAAGCCATATTTTTACTTAGATTTAAACAATAATTTCTTTGCTCATATCCCATTCAAAAACCAATTTTTTGTTTATTTTTATGAAAGTTTTATCTCATCTGATCAACTGATAAATAAATATATTGAAATCAGATTATGTTAAGTTAATAAAGAAGTACAGTTATCAAGTCGAATTACCAAATCAGTTTTACATCCTTGTTATGACTTCATATATCTTATTTTTCGCGTAATTATTTATGAATGATATCAATTTATTATTTAAACTTTAAATTGAAAAAAAATAGAACATGATTTTATTTTATTATTATTGTCTATGAGCACAAGCCATAAAATTTGGTTGATTATAATAAAAGTCGATTGTTTTATCAGTACATGCTCCTCCTCCAATTGAACCAAGATGTGGATAATGTATAGATGGTAATAAAGGTACAAAATATGTGTGAATAAAACGGCAAATAACATTTCCTTGATCTCCTCTTGCTACTCTTCAACTAAATCAGCTGTTTTTTTTTCTTAGGATAGACCATAGATTGAAAGTTCTTATTCATGTTAAAACAATCCATACATATTAAATTAGCAAACTGTTCTTTTTTTCTTATATTTATTTGTTAATAAATGTCAAATATAAAATAATCAAAAAAATAAAGAAAAAGTCAATATTCTTCAATTTTTTGTCGATCTTTTTCAATTTGTAAAACTTTTTTTGTTAAACAATTTGAATTTGAATCATCGGAAAATGTTCGTTTAATAGAATTATTTGTTAATTGACCAAAAAAGAGATTTTTTTCATTTCTGTTAATAAGAATATTATCTTGATTCTCATTTGAATTATTTATTTTTGATATTGTTGCAATAGTTGTTAAAAATTTACCATCTTCAGTTCAAGTTCGAGTCGTTCGTACTGTATCATTTGCACCTAGAATTTATTTATTTAAAAATAGAAAAAAATTTCAATATGATTCATATGATTTCAATTCAATTAGATTTAACAAATTTTATTAATTTATTTAATATGTTAATTAATTGTTTATTTGAATAGATCACCTAACAACTATTTTACTAAATATTTATTTATTTCATATATTTACATAATATGAGAGAAAAAAAATGTTTGAATAAATAAATAAATTTTATTATTCAATTAAGTTAAATAAAATTGGTCGAAATATAAAAATGGTTCTTATGTATTTATTTAATTGTAGACAAATATTCTTATTTGTTTTTGTATTATATAAAAGAGAAGAGTCTAATAAATAAATTCAATTTCGATTAATTCAACTAAGATTTGATTTATTTGACTAGAGTTTTTTAATGAAAATTTTTCAAATCTAATCAAAGATTTAGTTCCAACGTAGATTTTATTAAAAAGAAAAATTCTATATCGAAAATTCAATTGAGAATTCAACTTCTGTTTTTTTTTCTTTTTGTTTTTTAATGAATTAATCTTGTTAAGGATCGATATATCGTCTATATTTTAATTCATTGTCGATTAAATAACTTGTATATATATATTTGTTATTGTTGAATATAATAATTAATATATAGTTATCATGATCAATATTTATTAGAAATAATATTAAATAAATATTTAATTATACAATTGACAATAAATAATCAATAATAAAAGAAAAAAAACAAAGAAAAGAACAAAAGGTTACCTACTTGAATCGATGATGATAAAACATTCGATGTTGAATTTGTTTGAATTTTATTTAATGCATAATTAATTGAAGATCTATTTACGTTAACATGTCCTTATTTAATATTTTCAAATGTTTTATTACTATAAGGAAGATCAATTAATTGATTTTCTTTTAAATTTTTATCTAGGTTCGGAATGTTTAGAAATATTTCTTTATAAAAACTAGTTATATCACCAATTATATATCCTTTGATGGTGTTAAACATGAATTTTTATCTTGAAGAAAAAAAAAAGAATAAATATCTTTAATTTAATATAAATCTCATTTTTAACAAAATCATATTTGTTAATTGAACGAATAAAAACACTTCGAACTGTTTTTAATTTCGAACTAGGCACTCGGATTTATATACTTGAATTAATCGTGAACAAAATAATAATTGAGTATAATTTTCAAATAAATTCCAAATGATTCTTTCAAATTTATTTGATTGAGATCCATATAAACGATAACAAATATGATCAAGATGAGATAAGACATATTCATACAATTTAGTATATGGACTTAATTTAATATGTTTTTTATCATTATTTTCAACAATTCCATCTGATTTACTTCGATTTATTGTCAATTTATTCTAAACAACAACATCGTCTGTTTTTTTTTCTTTTTATCCTATTAATTCCTATGATTTATTTTCATTAATTAACTAAGACAAATAAAATGTCTTTGGTTTATTCTATAATAATATTTTGTTTGAATAAAAATAAAAATCTTCGACAAGATATTTTCCTTCGTTTTTTTTTTGTTAATTTGATTTTGAAAATTTTTGGGAAAAAAAAAGATATTCATTGAATATTGATAAAATCAATTAAGCGAATTCAATATCAGAAGATAATCTTATTTATTGAAAATTTTCATTCAAAACAAAAACTTTTTCAACAAATCGATTTTAATCAAATTCAATCAACTTTTTTCTTTCTTAAATTAAATTCCAAGGGGTTCTACATCTAAAAATAAAGATTGACACCATACGGAATTATCGTCATTGTTCTCTAATATCCTCTATAAAAAGTGTGTTCTAGAAAGAAAAACAAGTGTTCGCCGTAGACAGGCTTTAAAATGGTTATTATTTATCGAATTATTTTCATTGTTTGACAAGCTTTTAGAAAAGATCGACGTCAATTATCATATTTCATAGAATTTCAGATGAGTTTATTTTCGCCGAGCTCGATTATGAAAAAGAAATAAATTCTTTTTAAATCGATGGTATATATTATCAAATGTTTTCTCATGATAAATATAGAAAAAAAGAAAAATAAAGTATTCTAAGGGACCAATTTTTCTTGTTACTAGATCGGACTAAATATTTCATGTTTTTTAAATATTTATGAACAAAATTCTTTCAATATAAAAATTTTCATTAATGAAAATTTGGAAACAATTTTTTTTTCAATTAATATAAATCATATTCATTGATATGTATAATATTGTATTAAATAAATCAAATAATAAATCTTACTGTTAATTGATCTGTTGTATTCGATTGAAATAATTTTCTTGATACATTTGTTTTATTTGATGATTGAATTGATGATATTGTTTTATATGATAAAATACCTTTTAATTCAATATCATTCCATAATGAGGATTTTGTTGAAAAAGTCATTGATGATAAATATTTAATAAATGATTTTGATTTACTTATTTGTGTACAAGTTTAAAAAAAAAAATTTGTATGATTTTAAAAAAGGAATACTCATCTAATGAATAAACATGTAATATCCAATTAAAATCATGATATTTATCCGAATGAGCATATAATACTAATAATTATTTAATATTAATTTACTAAAATAAATCCATTTATTTACTTATTTATCCATTTAAAAGAAAAATTGTTTATTGAAATGATTGTTGAATTTATTGTGAATTAAATTCATTTGAAATTAATCTGTTTTTTTCCAATAGTTAAGATATTTTCAATAGAATAATAAAATAATTTTAATAACAAATCAAAATGTGATTTACATGATCGAGATGAATTTTCTTTTCGATTTATTTTATTAACATTTTCTATTAAATCATATTGACTATTAAATGAATATTCACATTCATTTAAACGTTCCACAAGATCATCTAAATTTTTAATAAACAAATTTTATTTTATTCTTTTTATCAAATCGAACATTATTTCTCTAGCTGACACGTTTTTAAATAATATATTATATTAATTAACTAAATAACTCTAATTTTCATTTTATTCTCATGCAAAAAACAATTTAATTATTTCTATTATCTTTATTTTAATTAAAATAAAATTCATTTTTATATATCTAACCGATTATTATTAAAAAATGTTCGATAAAATAAAATCGCATATATATATATCGAATATTATTTTAACCGAGAGAAAATATTTATTTTATTCAACGATTTGTTTCATAATAAAAGAAAACAAAAAATAATCTTAAAAAGGT